AGGTGAGGATGGGGTCGGTGGGAGCGGGGAGATGGAGAGGGGGAATGGAGAGAGGGAATGGAGCGGAGGAGGTGGAAGGAGGGAAGAGGGAGGGAAGAGAGGGAGGAGGGAATGGAGAGAGGGAACGGAGAGGGAGGGAAGAGAGGGGAGGTGGAGAGGGGGAGTGGAGCGGAGGAGGTGGGATGGAGGGTGGGTGGGTGGGAGGGAGGCGGGAGGGGTGAAGAGGCAGGGGAGGGGGACGCGGAGGAGGAGGAGGAGGAGGAGGAGGAGGAGGAGGAGGAGGAGGAGGAGGAGGAGGAGGTGGTGGACTCCTCAGGAGGAGGAGGAGGAGGAGAGGAGGAGGAGGAGGAGGAGGAGGAAACGGAGTCGGAGGGGGAGGGGGAGGAGGAGGCATCTGGGTGAGGACGTCCCTCCCGTGCTGAAGGAATCGAGCCACCCCTTGGGTGGGGGTTGTGGCGGGCCGCGGGGGAGGCGAGCGGAGGGGCCAGGGGAAGTGGGGGGGGCCAGCAGGCTCCCAAGAGCCCCAAGAGCTCCAAGAGGGCCGCCAGGGCCCCAGAAGGAACATCCATGCTCTTCAAAGCATAGCGTACAACAGCCCCGCCGGTCAGTTTTTCTACCTCCACTGTGTTTCTGTCGTGTGCTATTTCATTCGGGTGTCTCGCAGATCAGCCCGGCCAGAGAGTTCTTTTCATTGCATTTGTCGGAGTTTGCTTGCTTGCTTCGTCTTACCAGCGAAAGATCTGTCTGAACAAAATGCCGTCTGGCGGCTGATCAAGCCTTCCCGCCCCCCCCTGGCCCCGGCCCGCAGGCCCACAGGCCTCCTCCCCCCCACCCACTCAGGGGCAATGCTTGGGGGGGACATATACTGTTTCTTAGGTCCGACGATGACCCGGGTTATTGGGCCCGCTCGCTCAGTCCCCCCCCAGATAGCCTGACCTCGTCGGTTCGCAGGTCCGAAGGGGGTACGCAGTATTGGTGCGCGCGGGCGTACGTGGGGCTGCCCAAAGCGAAAACGTCAGGTCATCGGCTGGCCCCCTTCCCACCACTGGATAAGCTTGGGCATCGCCGAAAAATGAACAATGGCCTCATAGGTTCAGGGGGGGACGCATCGACCCCCACCCGCCCACATGGGGACCGATGGCCCTCCCCGCCCAGGAACTTGCGGCTTCGCCATCGGGGGCCCATCGCCGATCAATCGGCGATACCTCGCAGATCCCAGGTCGACGTTCCCCGCCCTGAGCTGGCCCCCCCCTATCGCTGCCCCTTTTCAGAGGGGAGTGGCTCGGGCACGACGGGGGGCGATGGGCACGTGGAGAGCGGACCGCGAGCGGCGGCGGCGGCCGCGGCCCCGCGCGCCAACGACGACGACGACGGTGCCGACGACGACCACGTCGACGACGACGACGACGACGACGACGGTGCCGACAACGACGACGACGACGACGACGACCACGGCGACGACGGTGCCGACGACGATCACGACGACGCCGACCACGACGACGACGACCACAACGACGGTGTCGACGACGACGACGACCACGACGACGACGACGACGACCACGACGACCACGACGACGACGACGATGACAACGACGACGACGACGACGGTGCCGACGACGACGACGACGACGACCGCGACGACGACGACGGTGCCGGCGACGACGACGACGATGACGACGACGACGACGACGACCGCGACGACGACGACGGTGCCGGCGACGACGACGACGATGACGACGACGACGACGACCAGGACGACGATGACGACGACGACGACGGTGCCGACGACGACCACGACGACGACGACGACGACAACGACGACGGTGCCGACGACGACCACGACGACGACCACGGCGACCACGACGACCACGACGGACGAAAAAAAAAGCGACGACCACGACGACGACGACCACGACGACGACGACGACCACGACGACGATGACGACCACGACGACGACGCGACGCCGACGGCGACCGACGACGACGACGACCACGACGACGACGACGACGGCGCCGACGACGACGACGACGACGTGCTGGGAGGAACGACGACCACGACGAACGACGCCGAGACGACAACGACGACGACGCCGACCAGGACGACGAGACGACCACGACGACGACGACGCCGGACAGACGACCAGGACACCGACACGACGACGGTGCCGACGACGACCACGACGACGACGACGACCACGGCGACGACGGTGCGACACGATCACGACGACGCCGACCACGACGGACGACGACCACGACGACGGTGTCGACGACGACGACGACGACGACGACGACGACGGTGCCGACGACGACCACGACAACGACGACGATGACAACGACGACGACGTCGACGGTGCCGACGACGACGACGACGACCGCGACGACGACGACGGTGCCGGCGACGACGACGAAGATGACGACGACGACGACGACCAGGACGACGATGACGACGACGACGACGGTGCCGACGACGACCACGACGACGACCACGGCGACGACGACG